ACAAGGCGTGCCGCCTCTTTTCCTTGGATGCCTTTTTTTTTAAACCAGCGCAAGCTCGTGCGTTCTCTCTTTGGAGACGGTTAGAACGGTCGCACATAAAACCCGCGTTGCTCCTACCCGCCCGCTTTCAGTTTCAGTTTCAGTCAGGGAGAAGAAGTTTCGCGGGAACTAGAGCCAATAAATGAGCTGCGCTTAAGAGTATCGGCACTCCCTTCCCCGACAGTGTTGTGAACGCCGCCATTTTGGTGCTTGTGCAGAGCAGGCGCAACTGCCGATCGTCATGATTCAAAAGTGCAACATCCTCAGCATTATATTCGGTGTTAGGGAGTTCATGTAATGTTGCTTTGCTTTGTCGCAAACTGTTTAAAGTGGAGGACGGAGAAACGTTTTTTGTGATTTCACATAAAGCTTCAAATAACTGGCAACCATGATTTTAAGCCACAATAAGGCCAACACAGGAAACGCTCTTCCCTCCCTCACAAATGTTTAAACAACCCGAGACAGAGCATTGCAATATTGCATCAGCTTCCTAGCACCGCATCTATTGCTGAGGAAGTCGTACTTTTGGATAATGGTGATCGGCAGTTGCGTTGGCTCTGAGCAAGACCCAAAATGGCGGCGCCCAAAACAATTTTTGGGAACGGAGTGCCGATACTTTAAAGCTCATTTAGTGACTCTAGGCATAAAGTGAACTCGGGTGTATTCTTTTCCTCTTCGTCTTCATTTTTTATTGATTTCAATCATATCGAATAATGAACACATTATATCACCTACACTTGTGTAATTATTTGTCTTAGATTTATTAGCCTGACCCAGTACTTAAACCATCCAGTTATCGATAGTAAATCTTCCAATATATTTTTTAAATGTGAGGGTAAAAAGACACGGAGATATGATGATACAGACGCCAACGCCGCCCTCGGAAATTTTTTGAACATTAGAAATCAGGAGTTTGTCTGCCATCCGCCAGGTAGCGCAACAAAACACCCAAACAGTTTTTAATTATTTTTAAAATTAGCTAAGCTCTACACCTATTAAGAAACCAAAGCAGGATCATTGTGAAAATTTAATACATCGCAATGTATATCTATTCCAAACAATAAATATTATTAGATGCCAAGAAATCTGTTTGATGTCCAAAAAAGATATGCGTCAAAACAGGTAAGTTTGAAACGCTCGTGGGGCGTTATGACTGTGAAAATGAAAAAAAAAAAGCCATCGTCCACCTTTTGGGAAACCATTGTAGCTCTAAATGTTACAAAATATTTTACCATAGTTTAATTATTTCATCAGCGGCATTTGAAGCACCATGACTCGAAGCACACAAAAGTGCTACGTTTGATATAAAATATCGAAACAAAAAAATTTTACACAACATTAAATTTTTTTCTGCATATTACCAATTATAAGCACTACATCTGTAGCTAATTTCATTGCCTTAGCGCGTGTCATTAAAAACATATTTGTGCTGAAAAATGTCAATTTTAGGGCAATATTTGGAGGGATGAAAAAAACAAAATAGTGCAAATACCAAAAAAGTGTATCGTTACATTCTGCTCCGACATCATCTTAACAAAACTGCTATATTGGAACCGTGTTATCTTTAATGGATCGTTCATAAAACATGAACTAGCGGAGCAAGTGAAGGTCCGCGCCATCATATTCGCAACGCTAGAAATGCGCATTAACAGTAAAAACCAACACATACATAATATCAAATGAAAGAAGATCGCATTGCCTTTCGAATGAGATCAATCCCACAAAACAGTATTTAAAAGGAGATGAGTAATAACCTGCCAAAAAGTACCTAAACTGCCACATTCAGTGGGACCGTGGCCTTAACCTTTAAAAACAGGATAAAACCGTCAATGGGATATCGAGGCTTCTTTTTTACACGGAGATGCACGTTTTTTAGCCGTTCGTGCTGGTGTTTCCGCACGTTGCCTTTGCGTGATAGTGCCCTTCTACGGTGAGCCACCCATGACCTTCGGAGCTGCGCAATGGCACCGTTGTTACTCCTAACTTATAGAAGTAGTCTTCTGTAATGTAGCGAATAGGGCGAGCTGGTAAACGTTATACATGATGAAAACCGCTCAAACGACGACGACGCAGTGAAGACAATAAACACGATATGAGGAAGCTATTCTCGCCACTAATGGTTTGTTAGTGAAATTAACAGAAAGACAACAGCGCAGCCGACACTGATTGCATCAACAAACACCTACTCATCTACTAGGCACTACACAATATTTGGAGCTGAGACGGTTCACCACACCGCTGTTCATATTAGCTCACAAAAAACAAACCTTTTTATTTGACAGAGCTTCGACGGCGCACCCTCAGTTGTCAATAAATTGTTGTCTATTTTACCGGTGTACGATGTTCTTATATTATGCCCTTGCGGTTTCACTAATACACATAATGGGTGATTACTAATTTCTGAGGATTAGTAAATATGCCCAATGACCTTCAAGATTATTACAAAAAATATGACTTTTTTTTTTTTTAAATGGAGTGGCGAATGCGAATTGTGTTAAATTGCCTCGTTTGACAAAAAATTCGCCATGTAAAAAAAAAGAAAACGGTGAGCTCTTTTTTGCATCCGCTCAAAGGCCGGTGAGCTTTTCTCCGCATCTGCCGGTTCTGCGGTGAGCTTTTCTCCGGTGAGCTTATCTCCGGTGCGCTTTTCTCCGGTGAGCTTTTCTCCGGTGAGCTTTTCTCCGTCGCTCAAGTTAACCTCATGTTTACATATTTGTTTAGTTCCACTGATTTTCTGGATAACCAATGGATTTTTTATATTTCAGACTTGTGTTCCATTCCTTTAATTCCGTTACATCAAAATAAAGCTGATATATTCGATTCATACGTTTTATTTTGCTAGACTCGGCACGTAGACGTTGCTATTGCTGAATTGCTAAATTACCCAAGCATCAAGGAGAATGCAGAGATTGGTGTTCCACTCGCCGCAAGTGCTGGTCTGAGCAGTTTTTTTTAAAGCAAATACCTAAAAGAAATGTCATCTTGCACGCGTGTTTGTCAAGGCTTTATTTTGATTATTCACTTCGAATCTTTTATACGGGGAATGCGTGGGCGTGTGGCGCGTGGAACGCCAACCCCTGCATTCTCCTTGATGCTTGGGTAATTTAGTAATAGGTATATTTGATATATTGTCAGCTTAGGGCCCCAACTGGTGCCCCATGGGCACCACCCCGCGAAGTGTGCGCGTGAACGTGGCATTGGCAGGTTTGCAATTGCAAGTGCCTGACCGGACGTGCACACAGATTGCGGCGACCAGACTTTCTGCTTGCAATCGCCTACATACAGCCTACCCGCTTTTTTTCTTCTGTCTGCGAACAACGTTGGTATCAGACGAACAGTGGTTTTCGCCTGCGTTCGCAGACGAACCGTCTACAACGACGATCTTCGCCAAAGGCAAATTTGATTCTACTCTTTGTGTCGAGGTGATCAAAATCGAACTCCTGACGCGTCGACTTCGAGGCAAAATGGCGGCTCCAAAAGTAGACGACGAGGTTGTCAACACTCTGGGAGGGCTGCCAGCCCAGCAAATTTAGGCACACTTTAAAGATGCTTACTTTTCTTTTCCAAACTGGCGCATGCATATTACATATGTTCCCTGTCTGCCTTTTCCTTTTGCTTGAATAGTTCATGGGGTGCGAGTTTGAAAATGGAACTGGTAAAGTGGGATTTCAATATAAACGTAATCAATAAACAGTGTAAACATAAATCTATGAAATTGAACTTAAATATCTTTTGAAGTTTTATTCGTAATTAAAAAAAAAAAAAATTCGTTGCAGAGTTTTAAAAATGTAGCAGGTTCAGAGCTCCCATATTCCGTTGTGCCTCGTAATAGAACAGTGAGTGTTCAGAAAGAAATGACGAAAAAAATTTACCTTTTCACGTTCGGTAAAAAAAAGTTACCACATTCGAACATTTGTGGTTAAAGAACAAATCACGAAACAAAACATTGCCTTTAGCGCTATTCAAGCTCAAGTCATGCACAAAACTGTGCAAACAATTTTATTGAAGTAAACTGCATAGTTGCTGAAAAAAGGTGCATGAATGACAAAATCTTGTTCTAAAAAAACACTCAACTAAGTAAAAAAAAAAAGGATAAAAAAAATTCATCAACACATTGTTACTGATATTACCTACAAAAAGCAACTAGCTATCAACAAACACTCAACATACAAAACATCGATGAAATGGCTTTCAAGAACAACTAAAAGAAACATCTTTCCTTTCCCATTGCCTCCCCCCCTTTTAAGTCAGTGCCGATTTTCCACTTGGCCGCTGTGTACACGGTGCCATTCGTGATACTCTCAAGCGGGACTTGAGCACTTCTGCCGAGCCCCGTGGTTACGGGATTTCCATTGGGAACTAGCGTTGGTTTGAGTATTTTCTTGTGGTCTTGTTTGACTTTCAATCTCTCCGCGTCTGGATTGTAGTCGTCTACTCGCTGTACCCTTGATCAGGCAGTCGCGAACAATCGCCTTCTTTGGCCAGAACCGAAGACAGCTTGTGCGTCGAAGTCTCTACATAATGATATTTGTTAAAACCAACGTATAAATTACGGCACACAAGGCCAATGTTTCGAACGGCATATTGCCATATGTAAAATATTAACCTAGGGCGGCACACTTGAGCTCATTACCTCGTATATTCGTCAACTTGATGCCCCATCAAAAATTATGATATCTGCAGAACAGTCTTGTAAAGCTCATACAGAATAAGTTATGTTTTGTCGAAATAAATTGCAGATTAACTTGTTCACCCGGAGGATTACCAATATTGAAAGTGTTTAAGCTGACGCCTGACTCAGACAATTGCAATAGTCACACTCTGAGCAACGTGCACAACAGCAACCACAGTGTGATCGGGACAGTGTTCGCTACATAAGCGCAATCGAATGCAGCGATTGCCCCGATGTCTGTCGGTGCCGTTGTCTTGGTTGCTGTGGCTTTAGAATGACGTAGACGTACCTGCAGGTCTTCGCTCTCCACTATAAATGACGCGGTGAGGAAGAAGACGCCAATGGGTGCGTAGATAAGGATCAAGTGCGCTAGCAGCATCATCACGTTGCTCAGGCCGACGAAGAAGCTGAGGACGATGTTCTGCTCGTCACCCGCCAAGATTGCGCCCAGGAGTGTGCAGAACGTCAGTAACCCGACGTAGTTGTCCATCGTCTGCGAGCTGGTTTGCGTCGTATAACCGGTGTTGTCTGCGAAAGGAGAATAAACACATAAACACAAGCGTGGACGATGCTGCGTTATTTTATCTAAAAATTATAGGCTGGAACATTGGGTTAGGAGCTACCGGTTGAGCTCGCAAACTGAAACAGCGGGGCTCTGTAACAAGAACCTGGGCACTCTCTGCATTTATAGTCGTTTTGTTTTGGTTAAAAATTGTGAATTTGTTCTTACGTCACAGTAAGGTCACTCACTTGGCAGAGGCACAATGGACGTTGATTCCTGAAACAAAGATTCGCGGAAGTGTCTCGAAATTAAATAAACCGACATTGTCTTAACATATCTGCTTGAAGAAAAAGAAGCTAGGCAACTCGGGTCTACAATGTACTAATATTTTGTTTTGAAGTATGAACAGAATCAACACACTCAAAGTATAGCGCATCATAGAAGCTTGCAACCGGACCTACCGTAAATATGGCAGCTTTGACAATGTTGTCTGGAAAGAGACCCCTGAGGAAAGAAACATAGTACTGGCGAATCAGATTTTCCGGTTGAGGCATCATTTTCATGAAATACAGTACTGACAAATAATATTTTTTTCCGGTTGAGGCAGCATTTTCTTGACACACTTGTCAATGTGCAAATAGGGTATTAGTTAAAGTTTGCCTTGTTACGTTTCTTCGCAACGCCATGTAGCAATGTGGTATGCAGTACTCAGAGCACCTAAAATTCAAATGTAAATGTTTAAATTGTCATAATATAACCCAAACTACGAGATTAAAGGTGCGAGTTTTTACTGGAGCGTCAAAGGTCTCCTCAAAGAGCGAACAGGGTCGTTCATTTACTTAATGGTGGTGCCGGACGCCTAGGCACAGTAAGTGTCGCCGGGCGCTTAGGCATAGTAAGGTAGGGCCTTGCAAAAAGACGAGTGCGTAGGTCATTATCTTAATCCCGGCTAGGCAAGGGTGATATCTCCGCTTTTGGGACGTTCAAAGCATTTGGTAAACGCAACAAAACGATGGTTGAGGTTCGAAGCCTTTCAAGCAGTACATATATCACTTAAAGGACCCATGAAACGAATTTTGGGCTGGAGAAAATCGATTTATATTGGGATTTTACTAATAGCACATCGTTCAGTGGGCCAAAACAACAAAGGTAGAAAGTCAGAAGCCTGACTTTCGCTACAGAAATTTGCAAAACATAGCGCACTATTTCGTACCTCCTTCGCTCCGTAAACTCTCCGCCTTTTCGCTGTGATACATCCACGGACCCCGCAGCGCGTCACCGGGCTACTAGTCACCATAACCGGGCCCCCGCAGCGCGTCACCAGGCCCAAGCGCACGTCACACGACTCCGGACCTCACTTAATCCCTTTACCCTTAAGCTGACATTGCGGTGGAAGCTACGCGCTTTCCAGACCAATCAGCCGCCTCCCTTTCATCACCTGACCTCATCCTCCGCGGGTCGGTATGCGCGAGAGAGCGTGATCACGTGGAAAATGTGTGGCTGGCCCAACGAGCACGTAGCTTCCACAGCACTGTCAGCTTCGGGGTGAACGGGGTGGGGAAAGCAACCAGTCGGAATTTTGAGCGACGGGCTAATCTTCTAGGGGGACAATGGCTGTGTCCGGCTACACAAACGAGATTCCGAGCAAGAGGGGACTCCCCCCTTTCCGTGTTCTTGAACTGTTTGGTACAATGCGCGATTTATGAGTTGAGGAGGAAAGCTAAACAGGAAAAAGTTGGAAAAGCGTTTCATGACTCCTTTAAAAAGGAAACTCCGCTTCATTTTCGGTTGTTAGCTAACACTGCGACTCTCTTTAGTATCAGCTAGAGAGACCGAATGTCAAATATTATAACGTAATACCACCTAAAAGATCACTAAACCGGCCGACAAAGACTGAGATGCGCGAAGTCACCAAAATCCGCTAATTTAGCGGGCGACGTGCAGCGCAGCCAAGGTTGTATTTCCGTTGTGGCTGACGTCTGTTGCATACGCAGTTTTTTTCCTTGGTATTTTCTTTTCCAGGGCGAGCTTACCAGGCGGTGCTACGGACGCGCTCCACGTCAGAGCAACCAAAGAGGCGAGACAGACAAAAAAATTGATCGAGAACAAGAGAAACAAGAAGAGAGAGAGAGACTTGTACGAGATGAGTTTCGCTGACATACATGCCAACCGGTGCCAACAGACTAGCCGCCTGGGTTGCCGCCTACATAGCCTGCTTCGTTGCTGCTTGCGTCGCCTGTTCGCCGCTGCGGCTAGGCCCGCTCTCCCTTCTCCCTCCTCGCCCTTCCCCTCGCATCCGCGTCTTTTCTGGGTTACCGCAGGCAGATCACGTGACCTTTTGTATTCCACGTGGGCGTGTATGCAACTGACGTTGAGGGTACAATGTTGCCCGGCTGTGCCGAAGTTTCAGTTTCGGTTTGCGATTATGGTAAATAACAAGATCGCACGAAAAATATTTTGTTTTTAATGAAACAAACGGTCTAGGGTTGTTTTGAAGTACTTTTCACGTTTATATCACCCACTATCTCAAAATTTCCGAAATCGAACGGTGTTGCCCTTTAAGGCGCCCCAAGAGGAGCTGATGCCACCAAGAATCTGCAGCGTAACGTGGAGGGGAGGATGGCAGTTAGCGAATAGAGAGAAGCAGACAGCATTAAGCTGGCCAAGCCAAGCGCTAAGGCCGCACTAATCCTAACCGCCCAGGCACATCCGCTGGTTTGTCGCGTTCTAACACAGAAGTTACCGCGAACAAGCACGAATACCTTCAAGACTTTTCGACACAGACCCAGAAAAAAGCACACACAAAAAACTCGTTATTAAAATCTTCTTCCTATAGAGCCCGCTGCTTACATTTTATTATTTTCATATTATTTATTTTTTCCTCGAGGCCCGAACGAATAATAGAAGGAAAGAGCAGGAAAAAAAAAAACACTAACAAAATACAAATTACAGTTAAGGCACGATAAAAAATAATATTATTATTAATGGCAGTTTAATAAATGAATAAAGTTTGGAGTTCGTGATGGTTACAAATTTCCCGGGAAGATGCATGGTTCCCAGGAAAATGGTACCCATTTTCCTTGTGGACGAATTATGAACGAAACGTTGTCGTCACTGAACTTGGTACGCCTACCTTTTGCTGATTATCAAATTTGGGGGTTTTACGTGCCAAACCAACGACGGGCATCTGGTTGCTGATTATCAAGACGAGAGGACACAAACATAGGGGTGTTTGATTGGTCGCGTAGGACGAAATCATGAATATAAACTTTATGAAACAAAGTTTTTAGTGGAAATACAAGGGAAGCAATGGCATGGTAGTTTTCATGCTGGTGACGCTTGTAGTGCAGTGCGTGAGAATAAAACGAGCATACCTTTTTTGGAGGGCTTCCAGTGCCCGAATGGGAATGAACTGTCCGAGATTTAAGGCAAAAGATGCATAATCTAACTTTGGAAGAATTAGGCTTTTATGAAGGATTAACACGAGTGAAACAGGTACCAAGGAAAAAAACGTTTGAGGTAACCAGACAGGCGATTATCATTATAGGTAATGTACTGAATATGGGTTTTCCACGAACACTTCGAAGTTAAATGCACTCCAATATATTTTTACAAAACTATCAACTCTAGATGGGCTTGATCACTGATCTCTATGACAATTGCTCGATCGCGTTTGCCCGCTCCGCGAATGCGGCCACTGGCGGCCATCTTTATGGTAGAGTTATATTACCTCTAGCCAAGGTACAGCTCCTGCAAGCCACTATCATTCATTCATGGCAGACAACGTTTTGGCGGGTGTGGTGGCAGGCTGCCGTCAAAATAGCGTGGGTGATATTTCGTGCTTGATTGAAATTGTTTGACGAAACATGTTTTTGAAACCCGGCGTGAACTGTAGCCCGGTTTTTGAGGACCAGGTGAAAGTCTCACGAAATCGCAGCACCGGGGAAAAGCAGCACAGCACGTATCGAAAGTCGCATCGAAAGAAGCATCGAAAGCAGACGCCGGTACGGAGTCTGCTTTCGATGCGAGCTGCGCTGCTTTCCCCCGGTGTTGCGCTTTCGAGGAACTTTCGCCGGGTCCTCAAAGATGAGGCTACCGTTCACGCCGGGTTTCAAGAATCTGCTTCGTCGAACAGCTTCAATCAAGCACGAAATATCTCCCACGGTACAGTGTACTAAATCTACGGCTATTTTATGGCAGCCTGCCGCCATTGCGCTGTCCGCCATATTACTATGATGGCTAGAGATGATATAACTCTACCAAAAAGTTGGCCGACCGTGGCCGTATACCCGTCCATAGGCGGAGCTGGTCAAATGCGATCCAGCAAATAGACATAGAGATCAGTGGGCTTGATTGAGGAAGTGATGATGACTGTCGTGATCGGGGGAAGGGGGGGGGGGAGGGAAAGGGAACGCGGCGCATCATGAGGGCGGACATGATAAAGATGTTGGACTGCACGTCGAATTGAGGCAGATCTGGTCAGTTTTAGAGAAACGACTTTTAGTTTTCTTGTAATATTGAGGAAACGTGTATATTCCATTTTTCAAGCATCAAATGCATTTACAGTCTTATTTTTATACAAGTCAAAGGGCACATTCTTGAGATTAAATGTTTAGAGAAATGTCCTCTTACTTTCGAGCTCATTTGTTTGGTTTCCGTTTTTCCCGTCATAGAATCACGCGCAGCTGTTTGCCTTTGTTTACATTGGCCAGATCACCGTCCCAGCTAGTCTTTGCAAAGTGTGACTGAGACGCTCGTTGACGCGTATCAGAAGTATCTTACGCGACAAAATATCGTGAAATGCACGATAATCGTCATATCAATAAGTTTTCCTTTTACTTCTTTTTACCTACACACCTAAACTCGAGCTTGTGCGCCCTAACAAGGACTTCCCCGTTCGTCTGCTTACAGTGCAAGTACGCTGTCTTTTTTACGCTGAGCTACAAACACAAGCCGGTAGACATGATAGGCACTGCTGCCGCACAAGCGAAATGCAGTTTGGGTGCACGCTCCAAATTCTCGCGACGACTCGCGCTAAAGTCAGACAACTGAAAGACATCTCCGTCGTTCCTGTACTTCTCGTTCGAACTGATGGGTGTTTGCGATGTTTTAAAATCTTTAGCAAGCTGCAGTCATGTGTTCAAACTCGATAGAGCTTCGAAGCAGGCGGAAATCAGTCAAGAAGAGTGAATTTCGTCTAAAGTGCACTGGTGTTTTCTAGACTGTCTCAGAGCTTTCCCTCTCACTAATTTACGCGACTAACCTGATTAACCAACCAGTTCTGCTTGGCTTGGGTCAAATAATCAGTGTAACCACCCAGTCATGTAGCAACGACGTGGAGTCAGGGCCACTAGCCACAGCTTTGAAGCAAAACAAGTGATTTTAGCTTAACTGTTTTAAACCTGGTCATCTTAGCTCTTTAGCGTTTTACTTCCCTCGAGGCATCGTTCAGTAAGTGCATTCAAAAAGGAACCTGATGACAAGTGCCTAAAAAAATTATTAGGGAACTGCATTTGTTTCCTGGCAGGCCCCCATTAAGGGTGCGACAGTACTGTTC